AATTCAAGAGCATCACTGTGAGCTCCAACTAACACCTCAAATCCGATGTTTTGTCTTAGAAGTTCATCAAACAATCCAGCCTGGGCAACTTTACCATCCTTCATTACCTGTTGTATTAATTAATTGCAATTTCTATTAGCTGGTATTTGTCATGCTAATTTTTTATGATAAATACAATTAATTGAGGAGTATGAGTAGCATAGTTTTTTAAGGACATTGCAACCTTCCATTAATGGGATTAGCACTTCTTCTGGATAATTAATATTAAGTTCATATAGTTTTGTTCATTAAAATGCAATGAGAAAATAACTATTGTTCTTGCAGCATAATAATTTAAGGAAAAGAAAGTTCAGCAGTTCTTAGTTTACCAGGATAAGATCTGCTACTGGAAGAAATTCAACTTGATGTGTAACGTAGAGTACAGTCTTGTCTCTGAGAACACCCATTAAACAATCCTGCAAAGGAAGCATAAAACATTTAAATGGAGTATAAAGAGTTTTACATACCGACAAAATTGTAAGTGAAAATTTACTAGGCATCTTGAACATTTGTTCTTCAGATTCATTTGAAGAATATATACTTGAAGAAGTATCAGAACAAAACAAGGAAATTCATATATAACACAGACTATATGGTTTTCTTTATCAATCCTAGTCTTTTACTATGCTAATTGTTTAGAGGGCAGAGGACAGGGATCATTCATTTAAAGGATATTTTTACAGGATAACCTTGAACAGTTGAGTGCCTGTATGAGCATCCAAAGCGCTGAAAGGGTCATCAAGAAGGTATATATCAGCATCCTGATAGACTGCTCTAGCTAGCTGGATCCTTTGCTTCTGCCCTCCGCTCATATTTATACCTCTTTCTCCAATCTCTGTCAGGTCCCCATTAGCAAAGAGCTCAAAATCCTTCTTCAGAGCACAAACCTCAATTGTCTTTTCATACTTTTCATTGTCAAAAGGATTTCCAAAGACAATATTTTCTCTAATATTTCCTGACAGTATCCATGGGGATTGTGAAACATATGCTTTGTTGCCCCTAATTTTTACTCTCCCTCCAAGCTTTGGTATTTCTCCAAGGATGCATGAGAGTAAACTAGACTTTCCCGAACCAACAGGACCACAAATAGCCACCTTCATTCCCCTATGCACCTTCAGCTCTATATTTTCAAGTGTGGGGCATCCTGAGTCTTGGTTCCAGCTAAATGTCCCACGATCAATCTCAACATCAACCTCTGCTTCATTTCTGGGAGCAATTTCAACCGCATCAGCTCTCATTTCGTCTTCTTGGAGGTATTTTGCTATTCTGTCAGCTGAAACTTTTCCTTGTGCAAGTACTGAAAGCAGATCGGGGAGAGTAAAGATTGGTTCTTGCAGCATTCTGAATGTTGCCAACGCAGACAAAACTCTTCCTGCAGTTAGAGGGATTCCTATGATTATACACGTTCCAAATGTCACCACTGATATGAACATCGGTGCTCCCCAGAATATAAAAGATGAAATTGCTTGCAATCTTAAAGACATCCACAGCCAATTGTGCTCAGTGTTTCTCAGGTCTTCTAACTTGCGAAGGTATGGCAGATCCCAGGCTTGAAGTTTTAAGATTTTCATGTTTCGCAGGACTTCTGCAGTTGCTTTCATTCGCGCATCTTTAGCTTCCATGATTCTGCTCTGATATCTTTTTTGTGCTCTAGTTAAGGGAATATTGCATGTCATTATCATTGTTGTTGCTGCTAATCCTGCCAAAGCTCCAACTCCAAGATTTTTATAAAGAACATATATTGCTAGTGCAATCTGGACGGGAAGCATCCAAATTATGTTTGAATACCATATCAGGTCGGTAATCCTTTGGATATCCACACTCATGTAGTTGATAATCTCCCCACTCGTATGGCTCTGCCGAGATTGACTTGATAAAATGAGGCCCTTTTTGTATATATGAGATATTAGAACAGCTCTTAAGCGCATTCCAAGCTGTCGAGCTCCAAAAATCCATTGTCTCTGACACACAGTCTCTACAACTTTGGCACTGAGAAATGCAAGTGCAAGTACGTATCCACTCTTCAATCCATGCTTCCTGTCTCCTCCTAAGAACTTAACAAAGTTGTCAATCAGTGAAGGTCCAACATAAGAGGCCCCTGCAGCTGCAACTGCAAAGCTTGCATTAATCACAGCCTTCTTCCAGATGAACATGAAGATTGCTCTGTAGATTGATGAAGTTCTCAAGCCGTATCTTTCTTTGACGTTATTCAGGCAACAGTTGAATGAGTGAGACAAGAACTCAGCATAATCATTTTTATCAATGTCTGGTACGTCATTCTGCTCTAGAGGTTTCATCTTTCCGGTAGTGAAAAGTGGGTTAAGCCATGAGAAGGTCACAAGTTGTATAAGACTTGCACTCCTGTAAAAGGAGCTCCTCTTGTTCTCAGCATGCTTCTCCTTTGATGTTTGCACTTGCAATAATGGTTCTTTAAGGCTATTGGCGTCGCAGTTGATCCCTGTTGTACCTCTGACTGAGATAACAAAGAGTAGCATGCAAGGAAAGAGACTTATTATCTCTGTATATTGTTCTACTCCTAAGATTGACTTTGCTAGAAGTGTGGAGCGTATATCAAGAGCAGTACAGATAGCTGATTGCAGGAAGCTGCATATGAACCATGTTCTTATTATCCAAGAAAGTTTTACAGATCTAGCTTGTGGGAGATTAACTATGACAGCAACCAGAAATATCCATGATATCAACTGTGTTGTCTCAGCTACAACTGATACAATGTACTTGCAATTGCCTCCGCTTCCTTCTAGCAGAAAGAAAACAAGTCTGAACAGGTTGATGGCCAATATCAGGGAGCAACAAACTTTAGCAGCTTGGTATGTCGATCCCAAGCGTATATGATCAAGCTTATGCTCATCAGTAGTGCAATTTTGCATCTCTTCAGCAATAGTCCTGCTTTCTTTTTCACATGATTTGTGTAATATTTTCCATAGGAGTTGAACCAAGAAGCAACTGATAAAGATGAGATTGAGAAATGCAAAAACATTCTTCCAGAAACAAAGGACGCTGATATCTTGCCATTCTTTCCAAGATTGAAGTGAATGGAAATCTGCAAGAGCAGCATGAAGTACCTTTTTCAGTTTGTAATGAACGACAGTTTTGTAGCTACGACAGGTAAGTCTGCAAGCAACTAAGACAGCTTTATTCTTTCACTTCGGAAGGTAGAAATATTACATGCCTCATAAAATTTTCCTGGCTGGTGTTGCACTCTGATCTAATTCGAGTATTTCAAGTACTAATTACATGAGCATTCAATATTTTTTACAGTTCAGTAGTGTAGTCTATCTGTAATATTTGCGAATTGTTTTTTCAACAAACATGCAAGATTTGCAAAGGATTGACATGATAGATAAATAAAACTTCTGAGAATGATGCACAATGTAGATTCAGTCATTCTGTTTTAATGTGTTATGAAAGTCCTACTGTTTCTAAGTCTTACTATATACAGACATATGATAGGAATTCAAAGCCTCTGATATATGATCACTGTCGATTGGCAAACCACCCATAATACATGACTCAAGGATCTTTTTTTTGAGCCTCACGAAAGACATATAACATATTGAACTAATGCACACAAGTTTGGTTCTTTGTTGCCATGCATGTTTTCTTTCTTTTGATGGATCTATAAAGAAGATACTGCAAACAGACATTTAGATCTTACTTGGTACATGAATCATGTCTTCATGAAGCATTCTCCTGGTTGCTCTTGTTGTCCCCCCGTTTAAAACCGATGAGAAAACCCTTCAATGTCCCAAAGGAATGAAGTGCAAGGAGAAGTGAAAAGAGATGCAGCAGCCTTTATTTATACTGCATGAGGGTGGGTGAAATTATGATGTATTCCTCCGTCACCTAGAGGACGTGCAGAGTGACGACGATCTCCTGCACCCAATGGTTAGGGTTGGTATCGCTTTTGGTGTTCTTTGTGTAGATAAATTAACCCCTGGAGGAGGACTAACCTGATTCAGGTGACACATCTGATGATGCATGGTTTTGTCTTGGTCGAGGAGACGACTCTAAATTTGATTTCAGTCGTCCATTCCAACTCAAAAACTTGGTGTTTCATTGAAAACAGAGGAGCAGTTGAGATTTCATGGGGAAAATGAGTTGTACGGTCTTGAGACAACCATGCGTTCTGTTCCTGATTATTTTGTGCTGTTAGGACTCATTATTTTGGGTGAGATGAACAGGGATGGAATCGATAGGATATGAAAAGTTGATATGGTCAAGCCAAACATGAACAAGCAACCAAATCATGAGTCAGTTTGGATAACATGTACTTGTGATAAGATCTCAGTTATGTTATCATATCCCCCATGAATTCAGGTTGTGTAGGAAGTAATAGGCTTTTTTAGTTTAACACCAGTAAACTTAGAACTTTTCTATTAATTTGAATCTTTGTGGAGGAACTCACGTCTGCCACCATGTGTTTGATTGCCTCATTAAAAAAAGAACATGAGATCAGAATCTTAGTTCACATTGCTCTGATACATGAGATGAAGCCATTCTTTTCTCTGCATCACCATCATGCATATGAAGGAACACACCACTCTAACCTTTGGCTCTTTGCAGGAGAGTGGATATCCACGGAGGCAAAGGCAACAAAGAGACTCCAGATGACAAATCACCCCCGTCCCTTCTTCTTGCATCCACATGTTTCTTGGCTTAACCTGCTTTCTGTAAGTGTTGCACAACAGCTGGGCCTCTCGGAGCCTTGGGCGCCAAGAAATCCAACGCATGGAAGTGAGCTTAAAATATGCTTTGTTGGTGGTGATCACTATTTCCGTCATCTCGATGATGGCACTGAGGTTAGAAAAAGACTCGAATTGCGTGGAAAGAAAGAAGGTGATGCTGAAAAGCTACAGTGTCGGAGGTGCATTTCCTCGTCAGCACGATGCGACTAGAATCAAGTAAGTCGACTGTTCTGCTGACTTTTTCTACATGCTGAACTTTCAGACTGGAACACTTGGTCTACACATATTTTAGTATCAGTAATTGATTTTAAGTTTAAATGGATCAGCAGGTTCTGCTTTCTCTTCGATGAACTTTCAGACACAACATACCTTAGAACTGATAGCAAAAGTGTGATGTGACACCAATACTGTGTCAAGTGTCTGAACTGGTGCATTCTCGGCCATGATTGGAATGTGATCACTCCACTTGCCTGCTATAAGACAGAGAACCTTTAGACCATCGTGCACCAATCTCTCGCGTGCAGGCGGGAAGTGGGAGACAGAGAGCCATGGAGCAACGCTGGAAGGTGAATAATAATATTTCTGTGCTTTTCCTAAAAGGAGATGCCACTTCCATGGCCTTCCTCATATCCCAACTCGACTGCAAGGTGAATAATAATATTGCTGCAAATACATATAACATTTCTTCTTTTCTTGCTGCATATGACATGACAGATGGAAGAACCAGGCAAGGTGACAGTCGCTCATGGATCGATCATGGTGCTGCCCACTGCCAATCTCTCGGGAAGAGAGAATCCTCACAGCTGTACTCGACTCCTGGGTCGATCACGGTGACACCAATTTGGCAAAGCTGACAGTGGAACTGCACCTATTTGGCAAGAGAGGGACAAGTGCATCAAAAAGGTGACAGCCTGAGAGGCAAATAAAATGTATGTTTCTGGTCGCAAATCGTCTTACATTATATAGTATCTATTATTTCTTTGAAGTTTTAATGCCCACAGAGAGATTATATTCAGTATCATAGCCATTATATTCAGTATCATTACAGGAGGGACTGCAATGGCATTTACCAGACGAGGCCCATGTCTGGAGGCGCCCGGCCCGGCCCGGCCCGGCCCGGCCCGGCCCGGCCCGGCCCGGCCCGGCCATCATGCCACGAGAGCAGGACGGACGGCAGAGATCATCGTCCGCATACTACGTTGCATCCGCCTATCCGCAGAGACCCTTTTCTGCTCTCCCACATAGTCGTCCTCGAGTCCCCGTCGCACGTGCGGCAATTTTGGGGTTTCTTTACCGGTTTCAGAGGAGAACCAACGAGGCCATCGGGGTTTCACCGATCTTTCCCGGTTGTTACGATCTCTCCTCCTCTTTCAAGAATCCATGTTGGAGGCTTCACTTTCTTTGGATTTTCCGCGGAAAGGTGTACCCGTCTTTCTCGAAGATGGTGGAGGTGGTTCGGTGGTCGGACACAGAAACAACTGCCAGGCGCCTGGTTGATGTGGGTTCGATCTATCTTACCCTCAAGCAGATCTTTCTTCCGTATTTTTTTTTTGTCTCTTGTTTCGATTTGTTCGTGATTTTTTCTTAGTCAGTGCGGTGATTATGATGGGGATTTGTATCGAGAGTATCCTCTGGATTCCGAAGGTGGGTTTGGGAATATCATTGTGGTGGACAATCTGCCGGTGATGCCGCTGGAAAACTTTGCGAAGCTCGAAGGTGTAAGATGTACAATCAAGAAACGGGAGGCTCGAATATTCAGGTAACTAATCTGAATCTTGAGTGTGGTTCATCAAGTTCTTCGCAAGATTTGGCTTCGTGGTATTGTGCCAATCAGTTCTTGTGGTAAACCCAAGACCAGAAGTTATTGTTAATTTGGTTTTCTATATATTTGCTTTTGTTGCAAAGGGGAAAGACTGAATGAGTATATGCTGGACAAATCGTATGCATTCTTTTGTTCTGTTTGATGATTTCAATAAGTACATCCGGAAGTTATTGTTAATTTGGTTTTCTATATATTATCTTTTGTTGCAAAGGGAAAGACGAATGGACTCTATGTTGGACAAATCATATGCATGATGTTGATCTGTTTGGTGACTTCAAGAAGTACATGATGATTCCAGATGAGTGGAAATCTGCTGAAATTAGATCAAACAAACCTGGGTATGGTTTGATACTTCAAATGATTTGCTTATTTTAGTCAAAGCTTTTATACATTAAATGTATGCATTTATGCTATTTAGCGTTTGGAAAGTTCCATCTACTGCGAGCATGGGCAAAACTAAATAGATATGAATCAAATGATTTAGTAAGGAATTATAGCTTTGATCAATAAATTGACATGCCCACTCAGTAAATGAGCTATATTATTTGAGTTTGTGATGATTATCAATTGTAGCAGCATGAGGACTGCAGTCTATTGATCATTACAGGGAAGAAATTACAAGGCACTTGTAGGTCCTTTCTTTTGAGTAGTAACTAGCTTTCTATGTGAAAATAGTATGGGTGGATAGGGTTAGAGGAGGAAAAACTGAGGAGCAATTGATTTTTTCAGAGTGGCATTTGTTTTAGACTTTCTTTTGTGGAGTAATAAGATGACCAATTTTCTTTGTTTTTGATATCATTAAGCATGTGCTATAAGCATCATTTCGGTCGGCATCGTATAACATAAACTTGTATATTGTCTATTTGGCTGCAATTCTGCAACTGCATTGTCGAACTCCACATATGTGGCGATAATGCAACACAGTGCTACAAAGTAATTCTTCAAGATGCTAAAAAAAGGGTCTCCCTTTGTGTGGTTGTATTCCACATCCTGCAGCATTGTGATAAAAAAATTATTTTCTATTTAACTACTCTTATCTTAAGTATCCCTCTATTTCCAGTTTGTCTTCTTGCCAAATTGGAGAATTGGAAATGTGTATGCATCGCGGTCTCATGCCTCTGTCCATGCAACAAACACCTTGTACCCATTAGTGTATTCATGATAAGTCTGACCTGTGATTTTTTTTTTTAACTTTTTCCATTAGCAATTTTTTCTTTTTCAGGTTGTTCTATGTAATTTGTTGTTTATGCCCCTCTTCACTATTGGACTGAGAGCTCTATCCAGTGGCCTCTTCTACTTTTCATTGTTTGATGCATTTTGCCTATTCTCAGGTCGGTCTTACTTTTCATTGTTATTTTCTTTTTTATGTTTATGATCTGGAGGTCATGTTTGTTGCTAACAGATGAGGTGTTGATGCCTCCTGGTGAGAAATACCTGTTTCACTTAACAATAGCCATGAATCTAGTAAATCTTGTGACACTTATGTAAGCAGTTTTACAATTTAATTCTCTTTCACCATAATATTATATATTCTCTACTTTTATTACCTCGCATCATATACTAATGTCCTATTTGTCTGTCGTCCGACTCATGGGGGTTTGCATTTTATCTTTTGGTTATCAAGTTCCTTGTGAATTCATTTTGGTACAAAGAGACGCCACAAATATATTTTTAATATAATATTTATATATTTTTACTGTTAAAATAATCTTTATTATATGCATAATGTATGATATAACCTATCAATCATTTGACTCATTGATCCAACTAGTGAACTAGTGGCTCAATGCTTGGTTGCATTATGTCCGATCTGGGTTCTAATGCTTAGTTATATTAAGGTGGTGTTTTGTACCGGATATATATTATTGTGTGGTTTATTATTAATTAGCAATTGTTTATGCTTAGCTTTTCTGTTTTGTAGATTGAATGGTGATTGTTATCCTTTTTTGTTTTAATTTGATAACAATGGGAACAGTTTTCATAGCATTCCTAAACTTCCACCACTCGAGGATGCTGTTGAGGAGGCTGAGATCGTCCGGAACCGGAAGCACAGCGAGAAGTATGAAGTAGAGGACCAGGATGTCCCCATGCAATTGAACGAGCAGTAAGGTAAAAAGAGATGATGATGTGAGGAACAGTGAAATGAATCAGGAACCAAACGGAAGCAGTTGCTTTAGGAAGAGAGGTTGCTGAAGGGTTCAGTTGAGGGATGAAGAGAGAAGGGGGTTATGTACGCTGGTTGACTTGGTTCAGGAACCAAAAATTAATCTCCCTACTCCATCTTTCAGTAGACGGACTAATATGCTGGTTGACTTGGTTCTGGACCAACCACTAGTGTCCGTTTTAAGGTTAGCATCTGGCCTCACAAGTTTACTGACGTTCGGTAATATTTTGGTTTAAGTTTCATTTTTTGCTTTTCATATGTTCTGCTATTAGTTTTTGGCAATGTGTTTTTTTTAACGTCATAGTACATGCAAATTAGTATATGTGATATATGTTATTATTAAGATTAGATCAATATAAATCCTTATTAGGATGGTGGCATATTAGTACTTGTTTTCTTATTAGGATGGCGCACTCCATGAACTACAGCGTGGTGCCATCGTCATCATCGCTTCATCAATCGTGACTTCGCCATCACGAAGGGCAATCTCAGAAGTGACGGAGTGGTGCTGGTGATGGGGGTTGAGGACAAGGTGCCTTCAGTCACAAGACCGACATGAGCATGGGACTTGCATTAGGAGAGGAGAGGGTGGATGTACGTTGATGATCACTACGGTGTCTTCGCTCTTCATTCTCTTGTTTTTATGGCGGGTTTTGAATTAGCGTATTAGTATGTTTAATCGATTTTAAAACTTAATATGTTTCAAAAATTGATTGATCAAGCTAAGTAAAGAGAATAAATTAACTCAGGATAATTAAATAGTCGATGTATAGTGGTTTAATTTTTTATTTATATATTAGAGATTTTGATAATGAAATCAATTAATGAGCTTAAAAAAAATAATATAAGAAATATTTTTTATCATAAACTTAAACCATCAAAAGGTTGAGTAGAAGTGTTGAACGTTGTGTTGAGAAATTATTATGTTAAAAATTGAATGTCAAAGAAGATCGGATTTTGTACTAAAGATTAGATGTTATAAAAAATGATAATATATTGAAGAAAAAAAATGATGTTTTAGAAGTTTGGACAAAATGTCTAATTAATTCAGCCTTGAGCGATGATAGTTTAGGCGATCAGTATATTTACAAAACTTTTGACATTAGTCTATTCCAATATATTAATTTTTTTATAATATTCAATCTTATGACATAATATTTGATTATTTGAACACAACTTTTAACACAATTCGATCTTTAATACGTTGATTAATTTGATCTTTAATACGTTGATTGATTCTTTGACTCAATATTTAATTTTTAATATGATAATTTTTTGATATATCGTTAAACAATCAAAATATTTTTTATATCATCTATCTCAAAAAATATATTAGTTCAACAAACTCATCTTGATAAGAAGAAAGTATCATAAATCCTTTGATTTTTTTAAATAACTATTCTCACCTACTATGGACTACCTTGGTTTTCCGTTCATCCTCTCCGACAACACCAACACCACTTAGTGCCTCTCCCTGCCACTTGAGGACCACCTCCGATGTATACCATGATACAACAACACCCATGTCGTCAAAACCTCGTTGTTGTTCGACCGCCTTTTGTGGCAGCCCCACGTCTGGACTGCCATGATGCCGGTGATAACCGCAACATCTGCCATAGTCGTGGAGTCGACGACCGCCAAGGACCTAAGCCACAGCCCAAAACCAAAATACCAACAACGGTTGTGTCTTCTTGTATAGCGCACAGCAAAATTTAAATCATATTTACAATCTCGACATCGAGCACAAGATTTTATGTACTCCAGAAGCACCAAGTCGTCCGCGAAGACCATACCATGCCTCACCTCATGTTACATCATTTCTCCTCGATGTCAATGTCAATGTCGATGATGTCCGGCTCGGATGCTTTCGGGGAAGAGCTGCTTCGACCTCTCGAGAAGTCATCTCTTGGCTGCCACACGATGTTCCTACATCCTGTGCAACGAATCACCTGGTTGCGATAACCCACGAATTGCCTCTTGCAAGCTGGACACGTGCCCTGTACACAACACCCATGAAACTCCGTTATGAACTGCACACTAAGATCTTGTGTACTTTTTTGAATAATCAATATTATGACAATCCCAAATATATATAAAAAAAAATAAAATTCTGAAGCATAATAAGTTAATTAAATCAATTGGTGTATCTGTCATATTTCTTAATTCTGATTTCGGATGATATCTGGACCTAATTGTTCATAATTTCCATGAAAATGCCAAACAAACAAAAGGGGTTACATATGCTAATAATAATCATTTGTGCAACATGATTGAATATAAGTACTTAGCTGGGACCACGTAAAGAAAACTAAAGACGTAGATCAACCTACGCACTACATAAATAATCAGAGAGACAATTTTGCTGATCAAAATATAGATCCAATTATCCAGAATTGACTGCACGACGAGCAAAATCTAGCTGAACACAGGTGACAGTGGTTATTTTTACAAATAAAAAATATTATGTAGAGATTGATACAAAATGGACATGAATCAGAAGGATATCGATTGAGGCTTGTCAACTAACACAAATTTTAAAACAAAATCACCTGATAAGATCCAAAAGCAAAATAATGCAAAATGCTTATCTGCAAAGTACAATTTACGATATGTATAACTATAAGCTCTTGACAGTGTTGTATAATCCACAAGTGTAATAAACTAAGAGGAAATGGGACAGTGAATAAAAATGAAGAACTCAACATCTAATAATATGCTAAAAACATTGCTAGACCCAAGCGAACACTGTTAATCATAATACAACAGTTTAACAGGGTATCAGATTAACTATCAAAGCATATGCACCTTCCAACTCCAGAGCTAGACCAAATCACTAACAAAAGTTAGGACTTGCAAAAAAAAAATAAAGCAAGACTGAAAAATGCAAGTATATAAATCCATTCATCTGTAAAAGAAAGTAAAATCATGTGACCTTTCTATTCAAATGAGCAGGTAAAAGAAAGAAGAAATGTGTCCAATCAAGGTCGGATTGCTCAGAAGAACGTTTAAACAGTATAACATCAGCATACAAAAGAAACACCAAATAACTGATGAAGTGATCCGTCACCTGAATAGCAAAGTTGTTGGCTAGTGTTCCAATGAGAAGAGGAGCAGCAAATGGTAATACCCATGTGGCTAAAATAAAAATTCTGAAAAGCCACCCAGATAATGCAAACCAGAGGAAGAAAATAGTCTGCAAAGCGGAGGAGATTAAAGATATAAATTAACTTAATACATACTCATGAAAAGATATATTGATTTGAGAACTTTCCATCATGTACATACAAACAAGTAAAGAGCCTACTGGATGAGATCAAACATAGTCAAGCATCGTGATTGCAAGATGAGGCAGTCTAGTGTGCGACACTCCTACCAATCAGGACCTAGGGAGGTTAAATGTCATGATTCGTATATACTACCCAATATCATCTTGTTCAGGTCTATGAAATTCAATTCATAAAAAATGATCTAGGTTTTATTTTTCAAACATGCCAAACTCAGGCCAGAAGATGATACATGAGACCAAACATGGAATGCTTATTTTATTTTAAAGAAATTGTCTTCTCATATATGAATTGAATCAGTGTGTGCCTAGTCTTTTTGAAAAAGTACAACACAATATAGTTGATGTTAGCATGATCAAACTGGATATGCCTTCCCATAATTGTGACTGTAAATGCTTTGACTCAAATAGGCACAAAATGCATAATATGTATGGCTTTGTGTGATTGTAGCAATGAGCTAAAAGAACAGTGTAACTTGAATCTTGATTGGTCCACCAAACCATGAAAAAGTAAGATGTTAGAAACCTACTTGGTGCAGACTAATCTAATTGATCAAAATGTTCATTGCAATCTATTTTCTAGGAGAATAATATCAAAGAGGACCTAAGGAATTCTTTGCCTCGGCTAGATAAACATCATAGCAAGACTTAACCATCCAGATGAGAATGAAGCACCAAAAGAGACACTTGCAAAGATAGTGGATGGTCTCAGCAACTTAGTGTCCAAGTGGTCATCCTATTTCTCAGATACCTGTAGGTCATATAAACACACATACATGTACATTAAATTCCTTACATAAGAAGATAAAAAGGACCTTCCCGTCAAATGGAAATAACTATAAATTTTTGTGTCTGCATGAAGGCTATAATGATTTTAAATAAGAGACCAAGCACAAAACTCGACCATAGTCTATCTGTATGTCCCATCTCATTCAGAAAGTTGTATCGGTGGCCGATGCTTGTTTTGCTCGAAAATTCTCAAGGTATAAAAAAGTATTTCAAATACTAATATCTTTTGTAACCCTTAAATGTCATCGTAATCTAGTATGTTTGAACAGGCTATCCATGGACGAGGACAATATTTTCTACGACAATCTATAAGAAAGAGAAATGACCATGAAACAGTGTTGTTGGGTAATTCTAAATGTTATGGTCTTTATTAGGCGGTGAGAAATAATGGTCCCTTGTCTTAAGGTTAACAATGGGATCGTGTATAAAGTGTATTAGCAGAACATGAGTTACTAGAATCAAACAAACTAAACATGTAAAAATAGTGAGTCTTGTTAAAGACTAAAAACTAAGGTGTCTTTCTTCTTTACAAGCAGTAGGAATGTTTCAATAATCTCTTCTAAATATAATTAAAGAGATTCATCAAGAACCTTAGAGATAGTTCGAAACCTAATTAGGGATCAAAAATGGGCTAAAGTAGAACTAAATAAAGAAAGAATCTGCATGTGCTCCATTACAAGTATATGCATTTTCGTCCAAGACTGGACTGTGTAGTGCTTAAGTTAACACGTACATCCGCCCACAGTACAGCGGATAGCATCTTCATTCTAAGGTCCTAAAGGACCATAGAACATAATATTGAAAACAAAAATCATGTCACAATGACAGGAAATCTGTTGGTAAAGATAGACCAAATCAATAATCATTATAGGAGGCATTAAAAAAAAATCAAAATCGCCATGATGATAAGCAACAGATCATAAAGCACAACAATTTAGGGCTAATTAAAGCCGACTCCAAAGATTCGGTTAAAGAAAATCAATCTAAAAACCTACTGACAAAACAATATTCAAGAAAAAGGAGGCAAGATTCATGATTAGCAATCGACAAAGAGGAGACAATCTTCAAGATTAGAAATCCAGAATGACGAGAGAAGATCATCCAAGATTAGCGATTAAAAAGGAGAAGACAAGTATCAAGAAAACGGAGGCGATTCAAGATCAGCGATCACCAAAAGGGAGACCAGTGATAAAGAAAAATGAGACGATATTGAAGATTAGTAAGAAAGATAGAGGCGACAAGAACCAAGATCAGTGATCAAGACAAAGGAGACAAGATTCAAGGTTGGTAATCAAGAAATGGAGACGAGACTCACGATTCATGGATAAACGCGTAAAAGCGGGAGGAAGAACTCACAGCGAGTCCTCTGCCTAGGGGCGTCTGCAGAAACTCGTTAAGGTCTCTCCTGTACTGCAGAAAATGTATTCAAAGAAGACATCAGATAATAGATAGATAGAAAGAAAGAAAGAAAAGGGGCGGATCGAGAAGAAAGAGGGGAAACCGAACCCTAGGCCAATTCCTGGAGAAGTCCATGGAGAACGACCTCCACCGCCGCCCAATCCCTAATTCTTGGTCAAGCTCGCGGGTCCGGGCTGCGGCGGCGCGGGAGGCGGAGTCGAATCGACGGGAGAGGGAGTAGCGGCGGTCGAGGCGTTCGGCGGCGCGGCGGGCCTCGAAGGCGAGCTGCTCGATCCCGTTGTTGGCGCTCCGCCAAGCGTCCCGCAGGGCCTCGCCAGATGCGACGCGCCTCGCGAACCTGTCGAGGTCGTTCCGCCGGAAGGCCCGGACCGGAGCGGCTACGCGGCGGGCGACAAGAAGGGGCGGCGAAAAAGCCGCCGGCCCGCTGGCGTAAGGGCGGGCCCGTGGGATGCCCGTGCTCGCCATGGGCGACAAGAAGAGCTTCGTAGGGGGCTTTGGTTGTCGTTAGATTGGGCGCTTCGGCTTCTGTGGCGTGAAAAGCGAGATCGATGTATGGCTCACACACCGACCCTTCTTTCCCCCTTCTCCTGTATCGCTCGTAACTTACCGAGTTCGCGTTAAGGCGCGACAAAGGTTGCACCGCGGAACTATAGGACAGGCCGCAAGCTTTATTGAGATGATCGATATGAACTGTGACAGTTTGATATCATGGTTAAGCCTGATGACAATTCCCAAATACCACCGTATAAGTTGGGAAAAGAGATGTAGCCCCAAAAAGAAAAACAAGCAGGCGTGCGATGCCATTGGTGACTGGCTTGACAAGCAGCGGTTGACAAACCCTAAAAAATCAGCGGTAATGATATAATACACACTTAAGCCTAATAGAGGCTCACAAAGCATATGATGCGAAGGAGTAATTACAAAATATGCGAGCCAACAACAATTGACAAGAAAACGAGGCATAATAAATTTTGCATAATGGGGGAAGGGAAAGATTCACGACGCAAGAAAGGCCACATAAGGTACTGATTAGACTATACAAAATTGAAACCTTATCTAGCCCATGATACCGCATCAATTTCATCTCTTGCATTTTTATACAACTCGAGTCTCTTGGCACATTGCAGCCTGCGCTCCATCAAAGCAGGGTCTTCATCCAACAGCTGAGAAAGCTGCTTGCCCTGCAATTTTGGGGAAAGAGTTAATTAGGAAACGAGGGGAAAATAATTAGGAGGTTCATCACACCAATGGGCCAGCAGAAAAGACCTCTTTCTTTCCAACTTGTGTGTAAAAGTGATTGAGCAAAGAGCGCTTGGCTTCTCTAACTTGACAATAGACTGCTGCCTTTGGAATCGAGTTCTTGAGCGTTTGGGACACCATGGATATGTAGGAGGAAACATTTGAAGCTATCCTCCTCAAGTGTCCATCGGTGTACCTATCAATGGTGGGGGCAGCAGGACTCCCAGTTTTCTCCACCTCCTGTGGCAGCTTTCTGAAGAAATCTACGGTTAAATATGATGCCTCCATGTCAACCAACCGCAATACCGTCTTGCGGCTATCTTCGCGGAACCTCTCCAAAGCTTCGTGAGATGCAGCTGCAAGCTCCGCTTGGAGAGAGGGGAATCTCTTCAACTCCTACAGGGAAAAAGATTAACATGTGCTTAATAATTGAGTATATTAGTGGCCCAGATCATGACAAAGGGAATGCACTAACCTGGGTCTCCCCTATGGACTTCCTCACCAACTCTTTAAGAACAAAATGCACCTGCAATCACAACCAGTAGATGCGTCAAAGATACAACCTAGGACTTAGGGAAAAAAAAAGAAGATAAAAGATATATAAATAATCTCTTACAGCATCAACTGATGCTTCGGCTGGGCCCCTAAAATAATTCAAAGCACTCTCAATTAAGCGACGATAACCTTGCTCAGGAGCAATCAAATGGGGTTGATAACCATCTGCTTCTGAAACCACTTTCCTCACATTTTGTAGGGAAAGATGTCGGTCAAATGGAAGTTTCTTTAAAGCAGCTGGGAGTTGATGATCAAATACCCCATAAATTCGATCACCACCAGGACGCCTGTGTAAATAAACCCAAAAATTAAATCTAGTTTCAAATACAAGCCCAAACAGCAGACAAACAAAATTTACAATGCAACATTAAACACGAGATTCTACTCTTTGAAGATGCAATGATCTGATTAATGCTGTCAAGAATGTGCAACAGCTTTTGACAAAGCAGGTTGCAGCAGAGACTTGAAGTATATAATAGAGATATTTTGCTACTTTTCAATATGGGAATTGATTTCTTGATTTTCACATATCCACAAATGAAAATGATGGCATACACCAAAAGTTGCATGAAAACTTACTGTTGCATAAAGTGTATATCAAGCTCTGATTCAAGCTAGAGAAGATGAAAACCTATATCACAAGCATATTTATGCAGATAAATGGAATTATCATAACTGCATAAATTCCTTTATCACATGTAGATATTTTTTTTGTGAATGATGTTAATTTATTAACCACGTACAGTTTTCTTGTAAGAGGCTCTCAGTTCGACTACTGATATTGCCCTTAAAAGAGCTCAAAGCAGACCCAAAAAGCTAAGATCTGAAAGCTTCAATGGATTGACAAACAACATCTAAGGTCAATACAAGAAGTTCTAATTATAACAATGATTGTTAACCATGAAACAGCAATGCAAAGTTAACCACCCTAGCTAAGCGTTCATAATTTCTAAAGCAATCAAATAAACAAGTGTCTCACTTCAACAACAAGCACTGCAAGGAAACAAAACTAAATAACTACTCTAATGGAAGTTAGATGTTGGAACCCAAAAAATAAAAACGAGCCATATTAATTTTTGGATTATTTAGATATTAGTAAATGCTCCATCTAGATTCACTACAATTTTATAATTATTCTTGACCAGTTATGGTGTGCTTTCAATAAGGCATGTGCCTTGCCTTTGAATGACAAATTGTTGAAGAAGTTCCACTGCACACTCAAAAATGTTGGACATTATAATAATAGGCCAAATATATAATAACATGCAGAAATAAAATGCCAAACATTGAAGAGAAGAAATGGAACTGAGATGTTTACCCTCCATCTAGATGCTCCTTGAATATCTTATCAAATGCACGGCAAAGTTCCAATATAGTGTGCAATTGAGCCTGGTAGAACATGAAAATGTAAACTGATAACCTCGTTTAATTATGACATAAAAAAATGAATCTTAGTCAAATCATTCATGTACACCTACCCCTGCATCCACAGCGATGGGCCTACCAAGGTGATCCATCTCTGATTCAAGTTCATCAATGGTTTTGTTTATCAAAGAGGTAATACTTGGGATGCGTGCCCTGATTACAGACTCCAGATGCTGAAACAAATTCAGTCACTAAAGGTAATTAATCAATTGCTCAAACAAAGAAATGCCAACAAATTAAAGAGTCAAAATATACTATACCCTTGAAAGAAGTTTAGCAAGATATTCCGAACCCATTTTACTGGATAAATGTGAGTACTCTGGACTAGTTGCAAAATACTCCTTTTCTTTTCGTCTGGCAACAATCATATCAATGTTCTTATTAATATCTGCTTGCGAACGATTAACAATACCAACCCAAGGATGCTGAAGTCTGTAAGCTCTTCCTTCAAGAACCTTACAAAGGACAGTACAATCAACAAAGTCAGATGAATATGCTCCAAATGCATTTATGAAAAAGAACACACCAAGAAAACCCACATCGAGTGCATTTGTTCCTTTATCCATCAGATCAAGTTTTGTCAATACTCCAAAAGTCCTTTCACCTGACCAAATTTTGGATAAGTTCATGTAGCAAAACAGGTCAACAAAAATCATCAAACAACAATTTAGCCTGCGACAAGATTTATTGGAGACTCATCATTGTCATAATGGCAAAACCAACATATTAATAGAATATTAGCATCATAAATCATATAACACAGTTTCTATTGCAGCATCTATCAACATACCTGTTGGATCAACTTCCCTAGCAAGTTTGATGGCATCAGATGTTGCAATATCTTGATTAGCAGGAGAAATAGCCAATATTATGCAATTTGGCTGCAAAAATGAACATATGTAAAAATGAGAGTGAATCATTTACAAATTATGTTGCACAGGAGAGAGGGGGTAACAAAATATAATACAAGTGAATAAAGAAGCTTTAAAATAACAAATGAATTCTGTATAAAAATAAAATTACGATACAAAAAGAAGTAAACTACAATTAGCAAGCTCATGAACTATAAAATGAAGACAAGATGCAAGACCCAGAAATGCAAGTATAAAGTATATCGAATAGGCATATAGTGTAACATCCTGATTAGTCTCACATCGAACGTGGACAAGATTAAGATTGACTTATAAGGATCTGATGAATGTACTACTATCAACTTCAGCTTAAGCATTTTGGCCAGTGATTCGGACTAAGCGAAGTTGATAGGCCAATTAGCCCATCAGGCCCGAGTCGTGATATTTGGTATCAGTGTCAACCTAATATTTGGGAATGATGAGGGAGCTCGAGTAGGAAAGGACTACCCGTGGATAGAGTCAGAGGACGAACTATGTTGAGCCTTGACGAGGACGTCAAGCCCTTGAGTGGGGGAGATTATAACATCCCGATTAGTCCCACATCGGACGTTGGCAAGATTAAGATTGATTTATAAGGGTTTGATAAGTACACTACTGTTAACTTCATCTTAAGTACTTTGTCTAGTGTTCGGGCCAGACGAAGAGGCAGAAGCAGCAAGGAGAGGAGAGCAGGCAGCACAGTGAGAGACAATCGAGAGAGACGGAGGAGCATGGGGTAAAGTTTTAAAAAGGGGCATCTTTTTCTGATCGGTTTCTAAACCTTGATACTAATAGATAAGAATCACTGAACTGATCAGAAAAGTATATAAAACACTAGAAGTAGCAGTGACCGAAACAAAGGGAGCACCCAGAAGCCAATTGCTGAAGCTGATAATGTAACATACATCCAAAATGAAAGACTGAAATGATACTTAAACTGAGTTGTAAGGATTTACATGGAAAGATAGAAGCAATGAAATACAGAGAATATAGCAGAAAACCATTGAAAGTTGATAAAGATCCAAACAACCAGCGTCCATAATTCAAATCAAGCAATTCATCATGATACAAACAAGATGCAGGCATCAACTTAATCAAGGAAGACTTAAGACACCTCTAATCACACAAAGAAAAACAACAATGAAGTAAAAGATATCTTTTTCATTTTCAGCTTCAGAAAACTAGTTGGCACTAAGTAATACCACACACATCATTTAAGTATTCTTTAATGTGTGACACAGCTTCAAAATCTATAAATTTCAAATAGTAATGTCGTCATCCCCAATCCATTTGTCCACTGTTCCCCAAACCACCAAGAAATCAGGAATGAGTTGGAATCAAGCAGAATGGGCAAGAATTAGCCAATTCCAACCAATCTGATCTAACAATTCACCCATAATTTCTATCATAATACTTATCCCTATTGAATATCCAGCTCTACCCAATCCCAATTGCATCTCTAATTTTTATCATAATACTTATCCCTCCAAACTTCAGCATAAACGATGTTCTGTAAAACAGAAAAAACACCACAATTCCCCTTTTGCCAAACTAGCCAAGTGGGTAAGAGAACATGCATGAATTTGCAGGTTGTAATTAACAGTAATTATGTGGCATATGATGTACCTTCTCAACATATGACTGGACCATATTTTCAATATCATGGACAATGCTATCAGGCTGTCCCTCTGAGAAAGACAGACATGTTTTAAATAAGTTAATAAATAATGTGAATCCTGTTACCGGAGCAAATACACAAGGATGTAAGGCTGAAAAGGTTCAAACAGCATGTACCTACTGCCACCTTCGTTAGACCAGGAAGGTCAATAAGTGTTAGATTCACAACTGCAATAAATAATCAAGAAGCATCATCAGGAACATAATTGAACAGAACATACAAAATAACCTAGAAAATTAAGGCATAAAATGAAAATTATGCAACATATTTACAGCAACAAATTCCATTATTTACTCCATCTCAGTGAAGTGAAGCTCAGGTTCAAACAAGTTACAAAATTTAGGTTGTTAATAGAATTTTTACGTCTAATTAAGTTGTGAACAAAGAGAACAAACTCAATTTAGTGACAAATCAAAACTCATAATATATCATAGAGAAGACCGCTTAAAGATTAACCAATAATGTTCAAGCAAGTTCTGGAAGCTGGAAGTGCATAAATATACATAGTAACTGCATAGAAAGGATAACTGTCCAAAGCTAAAGGTGCTAAAGCATGACTTTTATGTTTTTTTTTTTTTTTAATGTCTTTGTGTCTCTTCACACTAACGTAATTCATAAAGCTCTTCTTGAAGGTAAATGCAATTTTTGCACCTTATTTTCTTTCAGAATTTGAGAAAGAGGGTTTGCAAGATAAACGCAATAACGAAAGGAATGGTATGAAAGCTGCAGAACATGCCAAAAGTGCTTCGGGATTAGTATGCATAAGAAAAAAGGAAATGCACTTTGTTTGAGTACAGCCATATTCAAAGCAGGCCTGATTACTAAACTAAGTCTAACAGATTTTCAGGTTTTCTAAAATTTTAAGTAAACAACAACTACTCTTGTATTTACGGTGAGCTGAAAGGCTTTTTCCTGTCACTAAGTCTCAGAAAGTTTATTATCACTACTCAAATAAAAAGGCATCAAAACCGTTCTTATTGTTTCTAATATAGTCATCAGTCTCTACCTAATTGCAACACTGATATGAATTTTACTGACCTCCAGCCAACCAGTGATTTATACTAACCTTTAGACATGTCCAACTCACCAATGAGTCCCCTCAATACCCTCTTTCACCCACGAATTAAATTGTTTCTTATTTTATTTCTAAGTAATTTACCATAAACAAGACTCATCATAGTGATTAGAGATTTTTGCTAGGCTATATATTTTTGTGGGTCACGTATTTTGGGCAGACAATTGGAAACATACTTTAGCATGGCAATCATGACAAGTCGGGTCCTGGGACCACGGAGTCAATCAAAATGCTGCCTCATATATTGCCCAGGTGTTGCTTATAAGGCTTGACCACCTGTCATTCACATGAACTGTAGGTTGCTCTCACCAACAGTCTCATGTGATTCCAGAAAGGTTTCAAATGGGAAGCCCTGCACCTTCAACAGGTCTCCAGCCTTCAGTTTGCCTACTAGTTGGCCCACTCCTAGAGAGGCTATGCAACTACCAGACAGCTGCCAAGTCTTCCCCGTTTATCTACCGGATTGTGTCACCAAGACATGAGTATAATTCTGTTACTCTATTAACTATGTCATAAGCAAAATACATTATTATGGAAATAAAACCAACATTTTCTAAAATTACATGACAATGAAGTAAATATGAACGAGAAAAAAAGTGTTTGCAAAATTCAAGATATTCTTTGGTAAAGGAGACAATAATTCACGATACAACCTCATTAAATTTGCTCATTTGGATCATGAAGTTCATATGAAATAACTAAAATTATTCAGAGAAAAGAAAAATAACAAGTCTTTACCAAATGGCGAATAAATGCTAAGATGAATGGGGACAGGAGAAATTTGTTTTGTTTTCCCTGTTAGCCTGTCAGTTTCATCTTGAATTTCCTTGCGCACAAGAGCTACGAAAGTAAATACAACAGTTAGAAAATCAACTACTGATACATATATATGTATATGTATATGTATGTATATATATATATATGTATATATATGTATGTATATATATATATACATACATATGTATGTATGTATATATATATATACATACATATGTATGTATGTATATATATATATACATACATATGTATGTATGTATATATATATATACATATATGTATATGTATATATATATATA